GTCTAGAAGCTGGACACTGTGCTAGGCACAGGGGCACAGCTCTAATGAGGCAAATATGGTCCTTTTGTTCACAGACCTGCCTGCCTGGGACTACTGAGCACCATGCAGGGTGGGAGCTTGCAGACTGCTGTGGGGACATAGAGTGGGGCACCTCTCCCAGCCATACTGTCCTTCTCAGTAACCTAGAATAGGATTCTCCCTGTCCACATGAGTCCTGCAGGGAGTGGGTGCAGATATCACATCCCATTCTCTGTTCTTCACGTCCATCAGCCAGCCTTTGAATGGACCTCGATGGCAGAATGGAGCCCATACCCCCTGGTGTGCTCAAATGAGAAACCAACACAGAGTACATTTCCCTTCCGGGAGAAGAGACCCAGACCTCGGCAGAGAGTCTGGGAAACCATGGATGAATCCCTTTTTATTTTTATTTTTTGACATGAAGTCTCACTGTATCACCCAGGCTGGAGTACAGTAGTGTGATCTCGGCTCACTGCAACCTCTGCCTCCCAAGTTCAAGTGATTCTCCTACCTCAGCCTTTTGAGTAGCTGGGACTACAGGCACATGCCACCACACCTGGCTGAGTTTTTTGTATTTTTTTAGAAGAGACGGGGTTTCACTGTGTTATCCAGGATGGTTTCGATCTCCTGACCTTGTGATCTGCCAGCCTTGGCCCCCCTAAGTGCTGGGATTACAGGCATAAGCCAACACACCCGGTCACCACGGACGAATCCTTGAACCTGTTCCCAAGGTTAGTCTTTGGAAGACCCCACTGGGCTTTTCCCTGATGCTGAGTAATTCAAGCCCTGCTCCCTAGCCCTCCCACCAAAAACACTGGCAGCACAGGCCTAAGATGCCTGAATAGGTCCTAGGGAGTGAAAACAATATTATGTTCCATTGTCCCTCGTGTTGCAACTGATACATAAGGTAGAAATTTATATGACCAATTAGTGGGTAGAAGGCTTTGGAGTCTGCCTTATTAAAAAAAAAAATAGGCTTGTGAAACTGCTAGACTTGTCTGCTTTCTTAAATTTCAGATGGTCCCACAGCAAAGCAACATATTGTTTGGCAATTAGGTTGCTGCAGCAGACTAGAATGGCTCAAAAGCAGCCACAAAAGCTCAGAAATGTGACCTATTTTCAAACAGCTTTCCCAGCAACATGAATGTATGCTCAAAGTTTGACTTCCTTCCCTCTGATCTATTAAGTTCTCATGTGGATTTTTCTTTTTGAAATATTTTTGGAAATGGGATTCTAGACATGTGTCCCTGGATGTCTTGGAAAGGCAAATCCCAGATTCCTGGGAAATGACACTATGACCTTGAACTGCCCTTGCTGTATCCATGGTCAACCCCTCCCCTGCCTGCCCCCATCTTGCCTGATGACACCAACCCAACAGGCATTCTCTCTTCCACTATGATTGGCAAGGCAGCAGCCAACTCTAATCTCAGAAAGGCCCATTCACCCATCCATTTATCCATCATCCACCCCTCTCTCCCTCTATTTAGTAATTGATTCAATGAATACTAACCTTCCACTACACGCCAGGAACTGTGTTAGGGGCCACGCTAAGCCCTTGAGACACTGCAGGAAATAAGAAAGTCACAGATGTCCCCTCACAAACCCTTTCATCTAGCAGGGAATGGATGTTATGCAAATATTTTACAAATAATTAGCAACAATTGTGGTATGTGGCCCTAAGGTGAGTATAAGGCACTATATGCACCTATAACAAAAGGGACCTAAACTAGCTGAGTTCCCTAAGGTGATACTCAAGTTGACAGATGGAGAAATAGGTGGTGTCAGCAAACTAAAGAGGGAAAGGAGAGGGAGAGTAAGAGATTTAGGAATAAAGCATCTGCAAAGGGTCCTGGGAAGAATGAGTATTTGCTTTGAGGGGCCATGTAAAGACCACTGTGGCCAAAGGATGGGAGCTCAGGAAAGAGGGGATGGGGCAGGATGGGCTGGAGAGGGGAGCTGTGGCTCCACTGTGCAGGATTTGGTAGGAAAATAGGAAGCCAGGGGAGGGTGATGTGTGTGGTGCTGGAGTCTCTTGTGTTCAGGAAGGCCATGCTGCTGACTGCTGTTTGGAGAGGGGGCTCCAGAGGAGAGGGTGGAGTGAGGGGTGGGAGGTGGAGGTAGGATGTAGGGAGGGATGTTAGGAGGCCAGAGCATTGTCCCTGGAGAGGTGACTGTGGCTGGGAGTGAGGGTAGTGGCAGTGAAGAGAAGCAGAATGGTTCAAAATACACTTTGGAAGGGACCCATGAGGACTTCTCGGTGCTCTCTGGCAGCCCAGATGAGCCCCCTGGGATGTGCTGCACAGCTTCAGAGCTGAGCCAGGCCCTCGGCAGCCTCCTGCTTCTGATCCATGGCTGTGCGAGGGTCTGCAGGATCAGAGGGAGAGGATGGCTTCACCTGTGCCCCCCTCTCCTGTTTCTGTTTCTGGAGGGATTGTGTGGTGCTGCTGTTCTCTAACCGCTTGTGGAGTGAGTAACTAAGGAGAGGTGTAGTAGGAACTTTTTGTACCCTCCTTTCTTTCTCTGCATGGCTCTAGCACGTACCAGCCTCCTGGCCATACTGTCAACATTCAATTCATACTTGGGGTTTGAGCCGTCACTCCATATAATCTCAGGAAAGGGGAGAATTAGGTGCATCCTCGCCTCTACCTGTTGTATCCTACATTGGCTGTCAGATCAGCCAAGAAGCTTTACAAACTAAGGGAGGGGAAGACGGGAGCAATACATTCCCTGAACTCTAATCCAGGAAGTTAAAAAGCCACACTGTCAGCACAGTCCTTGAATACAATAATTATCAAAGAGTAGCATTAAAGGACACAGTGGGGGCCGAGTGCAGTGGTTCTAACCTGAAATCCCAGCATTTTAGGAGGCTGAGGCAGGAGGATCACTTGAGCACAAGAGTTTGATAACAGCCTGGGCAACATAGTGAGACCTGGTGTCTACAAAACATAAAAAATTCACTCAGTGCGGTGGCACACCCCTAGAGACTGAGACAGAGGGATGACTTCAGCCCAGGAGTCCAGGGCTACAGTGAGCTATGATCATGCTACTGCACTCCAGCCTCACAGATGAGATCCTTTCTCAAACAAACAAACAACAAAACAGAAAAGGAAAAAATGACGTGGCTTTCTGACATGGGATACCCTCTCTTATCTTCCTGCTGAGCTGTATGTATGCCACCACCTCTCCATTCTGTGCTCATGGCAGACATCACAAATCAATCAAGATGGTTTTTCTCAAACGGAACTTTCAGAAACATTCTCAATACTATGCTGCAGGCTTTTCAGCTAAATAAGGTTGGTATGGGATGTGAAACCCATTTGCCATCCCTGGTCTTGAGTCTTCAATCAAGATAATCAACTTGAGAAGATTCTTTAACCATTTGGTCAAGTGCCCAAGCTTTTACATAGGCAAACCTCCTAGCCATCCTAGGCAGGTGGCGGCCAATTCTTTCAAAGGTTTCCATGGCTCCCGATTCCCCCATCATACTCCAGCATCCATCCTGCCCTGACTTATCCTGACAAAAGATTCCCACCCCGCCCCCCGCCAATTTACCCGAATTCTGTCTTCCTTGCTTTTCGGAGAAAAGGAAGAAGGAAAGAGAAAGAACCAGAATCACCCGGATACAAGGAACATGCTGTTCAGCTCTTCTTAACCTTTCAGTTTGTCTGTTGCTTGGGAATCATTGCCCCAGGGTGTCTCTGTACCCAACAGAAGGGGGATCACATTTTAGCAACAGTAGCAAAACAAAAGGCCTTGGACTTTCAGTTTCTCGGTTTCCGATGATTAGGCTTCTGCACATATCAACCCCAAGACAGTGTCATTCTATAGCTTCTCAATGAGGTTAAGGTATTTTGACTACTTGGTCTTCACTTTCCCTCAGTAATAGAGACACCAAGATCCTATTGCTCCCCAGCAAACAGGCAGGAGAGATAAGAGTCAGAGGAAAGCACGAGAGAGAGGTTAAGAGCAGCAATTTCTTAAGTCATACCCAGAATCAGGATTGTAAGTGTGATTTTCTGTTACCTACCCCAGACCTCACGGAATTAAACTTGGATCCATTTTTCCAATCCCATTCACCTGGCCCGGCCTCCCCGAGACACAAATTCGAATGGCGTTGGCTCCTGGGTACACTAGGGGGCGCCAGCAGGCTTGTTTTCCAGGATGGCCCTAACGTTCTCTGCAGCGAGGAGGGGAGGACCGCGACGGCCAGGCCAGCTTGCTCTGAAAAGCGCCGAACGTGGAGGGTGTCTTGGAGCGGGGTCTAAAAGGGAGAACGACATCCTTATCACTGGGCCTAAGCTGCTTTCTGGTTGTGTTTTCAGAGCTGGGGATGAGGAGAGGTTGCATAAAGGTGCTGGCCTGCTCCTGGCCGGGGCTGGCAGCCCTTCAGCCGCCGTGGGTGAGTCAACGCCTGGGAAGTGCGTCCAAGGGCGGCCCTTTCAAGCTGCCTGGAACTTTCTGCCATCACACTGAGGCCACTGTTTGACCCAGTCCCGGGCCAGGGAGGCAGGGACCGATCACATCCCAGCGCAGTGCTTCTCCCTGGCACCGAGTCTGTGGAAAGAGGGTGGGAAGGTTCTTTCCACACTGGAGGGCTGGCGTTGGGAAAAGAGGGTAGTGCTCTCCGCCCCAGTGAGCAGCAAGCGCTCGCTTCCCCCAGCAGACTTCTGCTCCACTGGCCTACTTTCAGCGTGGAGTGGAAGGAAGCCAGCTCCAGGAGGGCAGAGGCTTCCTCTCCACCCCTCTCTTCCAGAACCTTCAACGGGAGCCTTGTTCTCCCCCGCCAGGGAACTGCGGATGGTGACCATCGTTTCCCAGCCCAGCAAGGGGAAATGAGTGGAGGAAATCAGCGCAGGGTTTTTATTGCCAAATATTTCTTTCCCTGGGAGGACAACGCATTCAAACCGCTGAGTGGAGATTGGAGTTAGTCCAGCCATAAACCATCTTAATGAACACTAATAGAGAACCGCAATTATTGTTGACTTCAAAATGCAAACAAGAACTTTAGACAGTGATCCCTATCAGCCGGTGAGGCCGGGCGCAGATGCCGGGTGCTGTTTTGGCCGTTGCTTAGCAATGGAAAATGAACTGTTCCTGTCTCTTATCACTGGAGGTGGAGGTAGGACAATAAGCTTTATTGGACTGAATAGGTATGAAATTAGTTTATTCTTTTTCGCTTAGAGAAGGCAATTGGCAGCCAAGAGAATCACTCGGAAAAGGGGTATTTTAGAGCTTGGGGGTGACCTTCCTTTCTTGTGACTTGGGTAAATCCTAACCACTTGTTTTCCTCTACAGATAAAGTTTGAGCTTTTGCCAGGAGTGTCCCTCCGAAACTATCATCAATCAGACAGAACGTCTGCCAGTACAAACTCACAGACAAGGGTGGGAATTAGGGTTAGGAGGATGAAGTCTTGGGTGCAAAATTTAAGGCAATGCCAAAAACTTAGTAGCCAGGATAAATAATAGTTTAGTGCAATATTTTTTAAAAGTCAAAATAAACGTAAAAAATCCATGGTAAAATAAAAATCGGATTTTAAGTAAAGAGAAGCTCAGTATCACTGATTTTTATTTTTCCTTTGGCTTCAGGCTTTAATATGGCACAGTGCGTCAAGTGCCAAGGACTTTTTACTGCACCAAAAACATTTGCAACACGGAAAGTTTTGGGAGCCACTTTTTCCTCAACAGTGTTGATACTATGAAGCCCAGAGTCCTGTAGGTGGGCAGAAGGGAGAACTGTCTGCAGTTCTTTAGCAGGCTTCTTCCAAGATAGTAGGAGGCAAATGACCTTGTGGAGGAACCTACCTATGCTTCCGGGGCAGTGACACAGGAAGTACTAAAATCTCAGGGCACTGCTAACACAGTCAGCTAGAATTGCCCAAAACACTGTTCCTAAGACAACAGGGACAGACCCAGAGCTGGCAGTTTATGGCACAATTATCTCCCCTTTTGTTATCAGTATTAATAGTAACTCCTTATTTATTGAGAACCTTTAAGTGGAATCACATGGAATTGCCAATACCGAACCTTTTTTAACCTACAAACCTAATGTAAATGGTTTAACCCAATGTATGCCGAGTATGGGAGGCTGAATAATGAACCCCAAAGATGTCCACATTCTAATCCCTAGAACCTGTGAATATCACCTTATATGGCAAAAAGGATTTTGCAGATATGATTAAATTAAGGATTTTTTTTTCTTGTTTTAGAGACAGGGTCTTGCTATGTTGCCTAGGCTGGAATACAGTGGCTGTTCATAGGCATTGTCATAGCACACTACAGTCTCAAAAACTCCTAGACTCAAGCAGTCCTCTGGCCTCAGCCTTCTGAGCGGCTAGGACTACAGGCATGCACTATTGCTCCTGGCAAGTTAAGGGTTTTTTAGATGGAGAGACTATCCTGGATTATCCGGTGGACTTAAGCATTAATAAAGGTTCTTATATAAAGAAAAGTCAATATGATAATGGATGTAGACTTGAAGATGCTGTGTAACTTGCCTTGAATATAGAAGGGTCCACAAGCCAAGGATTGTTGGCAGCCTCTAAGCTGGAAGAGGTAAGAAGCAGGTTCTCCTGTGGCACCTCTGGGAGGAATGCAGTACTGCCAAGTGAAACCAGTTTTAGACTTCTCACCTCCAGAACTGTAAGATAATAAATAAGTTTGTGGTAATTTGTTGCAGCAATAGGAAACTAATAGACCAGGCATTATGTTAAGTACTTTATATCATTAAATGTATAAAAGTCCTCAGCCTTCTTGAGGACTTTCTGTGTTTGGGTTATTTTCTCTCTTCGCATCTTCAATTTCTTTTTTCTTATTGGGCCTTCCCATTGGCATATACACATGTTTTCATGTTTATCACCTTCAAGAATAAAACCAAACAAAAAACCTAATAACATCCACTCATGATTAAAAAAAAATCGTGAACTAGAAATAGAAATTTCTTCCACCTAATGCAGAATTTCTACCAAAAGTCCATAACAAACAAAGTTTAATAATTTAGAATATACTATATAAAGGATTTTAATCTGGGTTCCACAGACAACCACTGGGCTGTTGAGCAGAATTCAGTAGGTTCATTATCACGTATAGGAAAAAATTAACATTTATTTTCACAGATCCAGAACTAAAAAAAATTAAAGATTCAATTATGAACATAGGCAACAGACTATAGTAGCCTTGCAGTATTTGTGACTCTGCCACTAATAAAATTACAGATATTTTTATGTCATGTTATAGTTATTGCATGGATCTCATAATATTATTTATGCCCCCAGTACTTGGAAATTTACAGCAGTTATTAGATATTCTGCTAAATCTTGATATTTAATGCATAGAAGAAGCACATGTGTTGTATATTATCAATTTAAATATTTTTAATAGCCGTATTTCAGTATAATTGGTTTTCTTTGTAATTCTATGAGCTTCATTTCATACATTTACCAACACAACAAAGGATCCATGGCATTAAAATGCTTTAAAAATCATAGTATAGAAAAAATCATATTATAGAAGAATATTCATATGACCTCAGCATGCAGAAAGATTTCCTAAACTGGACAAAAGAACAAGCTGTAAAGGAATAGAGTGATACATTTGATTACATTAAAATTATAAACTTTTCCTATCAAAATATGTAATGCTATAAAGAAACTAAAAGATATGTCACAAACGGAGAAGAGATCTGCTTCATCTACTTAACAAAGGATTCATATCTGGAATATCTGAAGTCTACAAATCAATAAAGAAGAGACAGACAATTCAATGTTTTAAGGGACAGCTTTGTATGGTCTTACCTAGAAGACTAAACGATGACCAATAAACATTTGAAAAAATGGCATAAGACAAAGAGCTACTTACTATTTCATCCCCACCTTGTCCCAAGTGAATATTTTTTCAGTATCTGGCAATACCAGCTGTTGGCAAAGATATAGAGCCAGGGGACTTTTACATGCTGCTAATGGGAATATAAATGGTTGTTTTGGGAAAACGGTTTGGCTTGTTGTTATTGTTGTTGAGGCCTAGTCTTGTTCTGTTCCCCAGGCTAGAGTGCAGTGGTACGATCTCAGCTCACAACAACCTCCACCTCCCGTGTTCAAGTGATTCTTATGCCTCAGCCTCCTGAGGAGCTGGGATTACAAGTGCTTGCCATCATGCCTGGCCAATTTTTGTATTTTTAGTAGAGATGTTTTTTTGCCATGCTGACCAGGCTGGTCTTGAACTCATGACCTCAGGTTATCCGCCTGCCTTGGCCTCCCAAAGTCTTGGGATTACAAGTGTGAGCCACCACGCCCAGCCCTGGCATGATTTTTAAAGGCAAAGATGCATATACCCTAAACCCAGTAAAACCCTTGCATATGTGCACCAGGAGTCACATTCAACCCAACTTACCAAGAATGGAAGAATGGATACCTAAATTGTGCTTTAGTCACAAAGTGTAATATAATGCTGTTGTGAAAATAAAGTAACCTCAGACACATGTATGGATCTCAACCCTGATGTTAAGTGAAGAAAGCAAATTTCAAAAAAAAAGAAAAACAATGTGATTCTGTTTATTCAAAGCTTAAAAAATAAGCAAAAAAGAATTGTTTTCCAGTATTGAACGTAGAACACTTAGAACTTTCCACTCCATCCAAACAAGTAAAAAGCTAAAGAAACTGGAAAATCAAGAACTCTTAGATCTGTGGCAGAAATGAGAGCTCAGGGCACACTGCTGTCCCCAGAACTGGAGAGACAGACAGGTGGATACAGAGAATCACAACATACCACAGCAAAAACCTCCATGGGAACCAGTGCTGAGGACATTGTATCTAGTGATCATGAAAAAATTCCAAAGCATGCTAAATGATAAAAAACAGTTTGAAGAGACAGAGCAAGTCAGAACCAGACATAGTAGAGATATTGGAACTATCAGGCAGAGGATTTTAAAAAATTATGATTAATATGCCAAGGGTTCTAAAGCAAAAGTAGTGTGCAAAAACAGATAGACAGTGTAAACAGAGAGATGAGAATCCTAAGAAACAATAAAAAAGAAATGCTAGAGATCTAAAACACTAGTGTTTTGATGAGCTTATTAGTAGACTGCACATGACTGAAGAAGGAATTTCTGAGCTTGAGAATATATCGTTAGAAATCTCCAGCTGGGTGTGATGGCTCATGCCTGTAAGCCCAACACTTTGGGAGGCTGAAGCGGATGGATCACAAGGTCAAGAGATGGAGACCATCCTGGCCAATATGGGTGAAATCCTGTCTATACTAAAAATACAAAAAAATTAGCTGGGTGTGGTGGTGCACACTTGTAGTCCTAACCACTCGGGAGGCTGAGGCAGGAGAATTGCTTGAACCCGGGAGGTGGAGGTTGCAGTGAGACTAGATTGTGCCACTGCTCTCCAGCCTGGAGACAGAGCAAGACTCTACCTTAAAACAAAAACAAAAACAAAAGAAAAAGAAATTTCCAGGACTGAGAAACAAAGAGAACAGATAAAGAGAAACAAAAACACAACAACAATAGAAAACAAAGAAAATCTTAGACTATTCAAAACCTGTGGGAAAACAACAAAAGGTCTAACATATACATAATGGTAACCACAGATTCAAGAATCTCAGATAACACAATGCAGGATAAATGCCCAAATAAAACAAAACTCTAAACCTAGGCACATAATTTTCCAACTACAGAAAATTAAAATAAAGAAAAAACCTGAAAGAAGACAGAGGGAAAACACTTTACCTGCAGAGGAGTAAAGATGAGAATTATATTCTACCTCCTCCTCAAGCGTGCAAGCAAGAAGAAAGTGAAGTGACATATTAAGTGTTTAAAGAAAAAAATGCACCAACCTAGAATTCTGTAACCTTGACATTAACCCTCAAAAGTAAAGGAGAAATAAAGACTTTCTCAGACAGACGAAAACTAAGGAAATTTGTTGCTAGTAGACCTGCCTTACAAGAAATGTTGAAAGAAGTTCTACAGAGATAGGGAAAATAATACAGGTCAGAATTCAGAGCCATATTAAAGAAAAGAAGAGCATCAAATAAAGAATATGTGAAGGTAATATAAAAAGTTTTATTTTTCTTATTCTTAATTTATCTAATAGATAATAGTTTGTTCAAAATAATAGCAACAAT